AGAGAAGAAAATGCTGATAAACAACACTGCCACCTTAACAATGTAAAACTACTTCCTCTTCACCTTGGATTATGATTTTATTAGAAAAACGTTTTAACACAATTATGCATTATCTATTTCTAAAGATAAAAGACCTTAGTCTCTCTACAGCTCAGATCTTAGTATAGGGTTCAAGACTCAAATTATTGATGAAGCATAAAGGATGTCAAGATTTGTAATCTGCTTCTTAAAATTAATAATAAAGCACTCAAAATATTTTTAAAAAAGGATACTGACTAGAAATGGAAAGAAACTTTCTGAAGGAAGAAATATTCTACATCTTAATCAGATTGGTGTTTATATATGTACAGCTATATGCATATGCAAAAATTCACTGAGCTATGTATACCTCTTAGATTTGTGCATTTACTGGAAATTATACATTTAAAAAAGGAGTTTAAAAAATAATATTCCACAGAATTATCTTATTATTCCAAATCATATGATGTAGTAAGAGTCAGATTTTCATCTTCTTTTAGTAAAAAGAATCAAGCATAGAGAAGTAAAGCAATCTTCTTTGGTATCTCAAAATCAAGAAGAAAAACAGGTCTCCCAACTCTGTTCTATCATCAATCTAACCTTTGTGCCTCATAGACAATGAGACTGAATCTTGAGATTCTTCTGAGAGTGAGAAAAGACAAGAGGGCAGAACCAATCCTAGTTAAATCAACATACTCACCATCCCCAAATGCCATATCCTTATTCTCCAAAGAGAAAATTATTTAAATTCTATGCCCAATGTGGGCCTCGAACTTATAACCCTGAGATCAAGAGTCACATGCTTTACCAAATAAGCTAGCCAGGCACCCCAAGAGAAAATTATTTCTATCTAGAACTGGTTATGAAAATATACAAAGAATGCAGAAGTAGTTCTCAGGTTCACACTCCCTCTAAAAACTATAATGATGCTTCCTTGTGCTTCATTCTGTAGTTTTTCTAAGAGAGTTCTAAGGCACCATACTCTCTTGCTTTGAGTTTTGACCATTTACATGTTTAGAGTGAGAAAGTAATGAGTGCACAGGTTTGGACTCAATGAACTGAGATGAAATATGGCTTTTATTTCAGTTACAAAATTTTAGCATTAAACTAGATCTGAGCAGCCTATTATTCATTTAGTGAATAAAGGAACTAAATCCTAAAATAGTTAAAGGACTTGCCTAAGACTTCACAGCTAAGAAGTGGCAGAGTCAGAGTTGAATCTAGCCTTCCTCAACCATACCACTCCTATACCTATGCCCAGTTAGAATTAGCATACTATCTTACCTAAAGTGATAATTACACTCTGGGGAAACATGGTTCATATTATCCAAATTCTCATACCTATCTGTCTGGCTCACCATACTAATATCTTAACTAATTTATAATCAGAATTATAACTGTCAACCAAGTTACAATCAGTACCCTCTTTGCTCAGCAGTAAAATCCCCTTGGTAAATTGGATTGACACCAAAAAGTTATTTGGCACATAAATAATCAAGGCAAACAGAGAAGAATGGTTTTAAAGAATGTATGCTGCAAGTTCTTCATGGCAAACTGTATTACTTCACCAAAGACATTCATACAGCCATTTATCCAATCAGCAAAACTGAACTGCCTACTAGATATCAGGCACTGAGTAGGACAAAGGAAATCCAAAGAGCTTTATACAAGGGACTCTGGTTTAGGTAGGCAGACAAATAACAGATTGTGGTAAGGGTTATGATGTGATAGCCAAGGTGCCACTGAAGCCCAGAGGAGCAACATCTACTATAATCTGGAGGGTCAGAGAAGTCAGACCAGCTTCTTACTCTCCCAAGCAAAAACATCTGCTCTAGAAGCTCAGGGTTCTCATTCTTGAAATCTACTATTTTAAACACTGGTCTCTTACGGACATAAAAGTCTCCAAACCTATGTCTGAGACAAAAGAAAAACAGCATTACAATATTATCCTACTTAAAAAAATATATTATCCTACTTTAAAATTGTCATATTCATATACCTGTATGTGTATATATTTTCAAAGAGACATGTATGGAAAGATATTTACAAAAACTTTAATGGTAATCATTCCTATGGGATGGAATTTCAGATTATTTCAACTTCTTTACACTTTTCTGCATTTTTTAAAAATGTTATTTATAATGAGAGAGAGAGTGCACAAGTGGAGGCAGGCGCAGAGGGAGTGGGAGAGGGAGTAGCAGACTTCCCACTGAGCATGAACCAGAGGTTGGGCTCCATCCCAGGACCCTGGGATCATCACCTGAGCTGAAGGTAGATGCTTAACTGTCTGAGCCACCCAGGCACCCAATTTTCTGCATTAATTTTTTAATAATACTCTACCCTACCCTATAGGGGTGCCTGGCTGGCTCAGTCAGTAGAGTATGCACATGCATACCTCAGAGTCATGAGTTCAAGAACCAAGATGGGTAGAGAGATTAATTAAAATAAATAAAAATAAAAAAGAATACTGCTTTAGTTTTTTATTCTGGTATAACCAAAGTGAGTAGGACAGGGCAAACACACAGACTAAAGCTGAATAAATTATCACTGTACTTTTATCACCCTGCCTCTCCTATTCAGAGAATTATTTGTTGCATGGGGACACTAATGCAGCATACTTGGTATCTTTTATTTTACACTTGTAAGAAGGGCCACTTCTAGGAAAGTTTCTGGAGAAACATGAAAGGTAGATGGGGACCAAAAATAAAGGGGCTATAATCACAACACTAAGGTATTTAGACTTCATTCTGTAGGTGACAGAAAAACACAGACGTGTTTTTGACCGAAGACTAACAATCAACGCTACTTTTTAATAAAGTATCTCTGATAGCAGCTAGAATAAACAAACAGGAAATAACATAAAGACAAAGATGTGTTGAAAAGTTGTGGCTATATGTTTAAAAAAACCTAGAGAAAAAACATTTTTATCCGCACTATCTCGGGTGAATGAGAATATAAGCAGTCTCCTACTTTCAGTGTTATACATTTCTATAATCCTTGCACTTCTTAAAATAAGTATTATATTTATAACCAGAAAAAATGACTTCCACAATAACTCAAACGGGAAGCAGGGGAAATGATGAAAGCTTGAATGATAAGCTCTATAAGGGCCACACATATCTTATTTACCACTATATCCCTACCTATCTCCCCAACCTTGTACAGTGCCTAACACATATTAGGTGTTTCATAAGTGTGCCAGAATGAAAGGGTGAATGCGTCACCAAATGTACATTCTAAAGACTCAATGAAAAAGAAACATTTCAGAAGTAAATACACATTTGTTGATCAACATAAAGCCCAGGAACAGCAAGAAATTAAAGATAAGTCCAAGTTTTATGGACTAGTTGGCTAAGTGAATGATGAACCATTTAATCAAGATAAGTAAAACTAGAGGAAGAACAGGTATACAGGAATGCAAACAGATCATGGCAAAATGCCAATGAATTTGGGAGAACGTATTAAGTTTCAGGAACCAGTAGGGAGTGTAGGCTGAAGATGCAGATTTAGGAGTCACTCATATGAAGCTACATTAGAGATCAGAGCTACAACACACCCACTATTGACTCTCGTGTTCTTAATCAACAGCAGAACAAGACAGGCAAATCAAAATAAGATACCCCGCTATTCTGGTAGTGCTGATACCCTGATTTTTGCCCCACTGATTTTTAAACTTATATAATGAAATAAAAACACCTTAGGCTTCAGAGTCTTCATCTCTCATTTGCTTCCTAATAGGATACAAAGGCCCACAGTTATATTTTTACTATTTGCTACAAATTCTGGGCTCACAAATCCAGGCCAGATCAGACATTCAATACACTTGGCATTATTTACCATAAACATACAAAATTCATATACTGGTTTTATTCAACATTAACCACTGGCAAACTAATATAAAGTAATGGTTTGTCACGGACTTTTTTTTAAGATTTTATTTATTTATTCATGAGAGACACAGAGAGAGAGGCAGAGACACAAGCAGAGGGGGAAGCAGGCTCCCTCTGGGGAGCTGATGCAGGACTCAGTCCCAGGACTCTGGGATCACACCCTATGCCAAAGGCAGATAGATGCTCAACCACTGAGCCACCCAGGTGCTCCTGTCACTGACTTTTTAAAGTTTTGGTTTGAAATTTCTGAAAAAAATTAATGTTTTGGGATAGTTCTCTTTATCAATGACAATGTTTTTACCGCTTCTTACAATAGGACAGGAAAAGTTTTTTTTTATATTTTCATCCTATTTGAGGATTACAACATGATACTTCCAACTGTCCTCAATTATGCAAGTCTCTTCCCCCTTCAGGTCATTTTTATGTATGAAATGGGTTTCCCACTGTTTTAGCTCTACCTGAAGAAATCCATCCTACTACTTCAAACTGCTCTTATCTAAAAACTAAGTTCAAAAGGTCAGCAAATGGGTTAGGCTAGTCTCATAAATGAAGAGAAACACAATATAAGACTAATTTGTATCCATGCTTTTAATCATGTTATCTTTCATACCTGCAGTGTTATCTGTTTTTTTCCCACATTTATCCAAATAAAGGCTACAGATCATATCCTCCTAACCACTACAACACTCACCTACTTTGAATTTCCATAATACAAATTAGTGGTCTTCAAAAGTTAGCTAAGGCTTTGGTCATGATTCCAGGGTCCTGGGATGGCTTCTTGCTCAGCAGGGAGTCTGCTTCTCCCTTTCCCTTGCTCAGCAGGGAGTCTGCTTCTCCCTTTCCCTCTGCTCCTCCCCACTGCCTGTTCTCTATCTGAAATAAAATCTTTTTTAAAAAATAAATAAACTCTAAATAAAATCAGACTAGAAATCTGACAATCATAATACTTCATACTTCTACAGTATATTTACATTCTTTGTCAAAACATGACATGCTTAAAACACAAGGGAAAAATTTTTTTTCTTTTTAAATTATTTTATTCAAGAAGGTGGGGAGGATATACCAGTGACTGAGCTGAGGCCCTGAGTATCTAAAAATATGGAACACTTCACAAATTTATATGTCATCCTTGTGCAGGGGCCATACTAATCTTCTCTGTATCATTAACACAGGGTGTATCTTTAACACAGGGAAAGTTTTTTTACAAAGGTTAGTCAACTGGCCAGATTTTCTAAATCTCAAGAAAACAATTTTTTTAAAAACCAGCTTAAATAATACTCCTCTGAACCCAAACAATACTGCACATGGCACTATTTAGGGATATATATGACTGGAAAAATAATCATTCTATGATGCTACTTCCATCCTCTTTGGATAGGTGTTAAGAAAGCTACTAGTTGATAATTGTCTAGTCCTATCCTAGTATGAGTAGAAAACCCAAGGTAACTCTTCCAGAGTAAAGAAAGAACATGGCCATGTAAATAACTGAAGCCACAGAGGGTGGGTTATTTCACACTTTCCAATTCAGCCTATATGGTGATTGGCTCTGTATGCTTGTTTTCAAGAAAATGACTTAAAGGCCACACTAAAATTTTTAAAAGTAAGGCTTGGAATGAATTGAGTCACTGAATCAAAGCTAGAAGGGATGCTCACAATTTTAAAAATGGAGAATGAGACTCTAATTAGATCCCAAAGGTAGCTGGAAGCAAAGGTTAGAGCCAAGGCTTCTAACTTCCAGAAAAGATACTTATTGAGTGCTCAGTATCTGTGAAGAACTCTGATAGGTACTATATTAACTAGTGCCCACTCTTGTTTACTAAGACACTTTCCATATATGTTCAAAAACATTTAAAATATTAAGGCTGGGGCACCTGGGTGGCTCAGTTGGTTGGGCGTGTAACTCTTGATTTTGACTCAGGTCATAATCTCAGGGTCATGATCTCAGGGTTGTGGGATCCAGCCCCACACTGGGCTCCTGCTCAGTTAAGTAGTCTCCTGAGTTTCTCTCCTTCTGCCCCTCCTCCCCCCCCTGCACTCACAGACACGTGTGCTCTCTCACTCTAAAATAAATAAATCTTTTTTAAAAAGTATTAAAAAATTAATTAAGGCTTACATTCTAAGGAAATTTCTGTATTAGAACAAGACAGTGTCCACATTTCTGAAAAGCATGTTAAAATAAGCAGGCAAAGGAAAAAAAAAAAACTTTAAAGTAGGAGAATTTAGAATTTCACATGAATTATCTTTCCTGTCCTTGTTTACCATTAAAAAGATCTCTACCTAAATCCCATGACACAATAGTTTAACGAGTCTTATTCCTGTTGGAAAAACAATCCTGTTTTTGTCACACTGGACTAAAGAATTAGCTCTGTCACGGGATTAGAGTATAGCCATCTGAGGACAAAAGTCTAGGCAGAAAAGAAACAATACTGGAATTTGATAAAGACCCCTCAGGAATATGGCATATAGCTGTTTCAACAGCACCTTTCATCTAAAGATCTCAAAATAAATATTATTTACATTACCAAGAATCCAAACAGTGGCACCATAGCCCAGTAAAGAAACATATCAATGACTTAGAGGGAATTCAATACTAATGTTCTGAAACTTAGCCTCTGCTCTAAAAAACAGTATTTAGTTACAGTTGACCCTTGAACAAGGAGAGGGTTAGGGCCGCCAACATCCCGTGCCAACACCAAAAATCTGCATATAACTTTTGACTCCCTAAGAACTTAACTACTAATAATAGCCTACTGTTGACTGGAAGCCTTACCAATAACATAAACTGTGATTAACACATATTTTGTATGTCATACGTATTCTTTTTTTTTTTTAAATTTTTTTTAATTTTTATTTATTTATGATAGTCACACACACACACAGAGAGAGAGAGAGAGAGAGAGAGAGAGAGAGGCAGAGACACAGGCAGAGGGAGAAGCAGGCTCCATGCACCGGGAGCCCGACGTGGGATTCGATCCCGGGTCTCCAGGATCGCGCCCTGGGCCAAAGGCAGGCGCCAAACCGCTGCGCCACCCAGGGATCCCTGTCATACGTATTCTTAAAGTAAGCTAGGGAAAACAAAATGTAAGTAAGAAAATCACAGGGAAAAAATACATTTATAGTACTATAATGTTTTTATAAAAAAAAATACCCCATACATTAAGCGGACTTGCATTAAGTTCATACTCATATTGTCTGAGGGTCAACTGTATTTGGATTTTGTCCCTTGTTCCAGGCAAAGGGCTCCTAAAATCCCTGGAATTTAATGAGTGATAGAAGTGTCTTTTGTTTTTCATAATAAGTCTTTTTCAACCACACTGCAGTTTATGCTAATGAGACTCTAGATGGACCCCCTACGTAGCTCAAAATGGGAACTGGTTGTCAAAGGGACAAACCACATGATTAGAGGATTAAAACTTTCAGGCCTGGGACGCCTGGATGGCTCAGGCATTGAGCGTCTGCCTTCAACTCCTCGATTTGGGATCGAGTCCCTCATCAGGCTCCTTGCTCCTTGTGCTGAGCCCCTCATCAGGCTCCTTGCACTGAGCCTGTTTGTCCCTCTGCCTACGCCTCTGCCTCTCTGTGTCTCTTATGAATAAATAAAATCTTAAAAAAAATAAAAAAAAAAAAACTTTCAGGCCTCACTCCCCAATATAGGGGAAAGGGAGAGGCTGGAGAATAAATTAACTACCAATGCCAATGATTTAACCAAATATTCCTAGGTAACAGAACCTTCTCAAAAATACCTCAACAACAGGGTTCAGAGAGCTTCTGAATGAGTGAACACATCAAGGTACAAAGAGGGCAGGGAAGCTCCCCATACCTTGCCCTATGCATCCTCTCCACTTGGCTGTTTCTGAGTTGCATTCTTTATAAGCCTGTAAACATAGGTAAAGTGCTTTCCCAAGTTCTGTGAGTCATCCCAACAAATTATTGAATCTAAGGAGGGATAATGGAAACCCCAGTTTTTTACAAAGCTGCAACTGGTGTCTACAGGGGAATCACTCTTATGGAACAGATCTTTAACTTTAGGATCTGACACTTTAACTCCAGGTAAACAGTGTCAGAATTGAATTAAATTGTTGGACTGTTGGTAAATTGAACACCAATAAAAAATAAATTTATTATTAAAAAAAATTGTTGGACTGGTATCACAGAACTGGAGAACTGGTTGTGGTGTGGAAAAACCCACACACAAATAGTTAATTCCAGTGTATATTTATAAATCTTAAAGATACAAATGGATTTGTTGATATAATCTCCCAGTTTACCTTGCTGAAGATGTATAAATAGAAGGCCCCCAAATTTAAGTAATGTTAATTTTATGTTACCTGAGGTGCCTGGCTGGTTCAGTCAGTGGAACATGTGACTCTCGATCTCAGGGTTGTGAGTTTGAGCCCCATGTTGGGTGTAGAGATTGGTTTAAAAAATAAAATCTTGGGATCCCTGGGTGGCTCAGCGGTTTAGCTCCTGCCTTCAGCCCAGGGCGTGATCCTGCAGTCCCGAGATCGAGTTCCACACTGGGCTCCCTACATGGAGCCTGCTTCTCCCTCTGCCTGTGTCTCTGCCTCTCTCTGTGTCTCTCATGAATAAATAAATAAAATCTTTTTAAAAAAATAAAAATAAAAATACTCTTTAAAAAATAGTAATAATTTTATGCCATGTTTATGCCAGGCACTAACCTTGGGGTAAATTATTTCCATGTATGCAATTCTGAAAGACAAATACTGTCCCCAATAGCAGATGAAAAAATTTAATGATTAAATTTCCCACTACACACATAAAGTAGCAGAGAACTAAATCTAGTTTTAAAACAAACACACTCAAAAATAAAACACAAATCTCTGTCTTCTTCTACACTATGGCAACCTTTACTTTTTATTATGTAGTATAAAATTATAAACTCTCTAACAATCCTTAAGAACATGCCCCATGGGATCCCTGGGTGGCTCAGAGGTTTAGCGCCACCTTCAGCCCAGGGCCTGATCCTGGAGAACTGGGATCAAGTCCCACATTCGGCTGCCTGCATGGAGCCTGCTTCTCCCTCTGCCTGTGTCTCTGCCTCTCTCTCTGTCTCTTATGAATAAATAAATAAAATCTTAAAAAAAAAAAAAGAACATGCCCCAAATTATGCTCTTGAAAGACTACTCTTAAGGGGAAGGGGGAAGGGTGTGTGCCAGGGTTAAGGCTTTTGAGTAACAGTGCAGGCCCCATACCTGTTGGTACCCACATGGAGCTGCATCCTACTCATCCTACTAACAGAAAAGCCAAAGCAGATAGTAATGCTGTGCCTTTTTGTGGAGCCAAACCTTCTCCCAGCTTTATCAGTCGTCAAAAGCAAGTTCCACTAGCCACTTTCCTGAAAATTCAAACAAAGCTGCCCTCAGGAGCTGACTACAAATCCAAGATATTTCTAAGACTCCTATAATCTATGTGCCAATCTCCAGTTTCAGACCCATATACAAGTAGTTACCACAGCTTGCCCAACGAAGGCTATTCAGGAAAATTTGTAAGCACCCATAACATAACTGTAGCTCCTGGGAGGGAAAGCAAAGAACTCTCCCAGTCTCATCTCACAATCCATTGTTAAATCATCTACCCCAATTCAGTAAATGAACTGTGGGACAGGAAAGGAAAGGGGCAGAGGGTAGAAGGAAAAATAGGAGGGAGGGAAGGAGGGAAGGAGACAGACAGACTAGCCTTAAGAGATCAAGGGGTGCCTGGGTAGCTCAGCTCAGTCAGTTAAGTGTCTGCCTTTGACTTAGGTCATGATCTCAGGGTCCTGGGATCTGGATCCAAGCCCCATGCTGGGCTCCCTACACTGTGGAAAGCCTGCTTCTGGGAAATACAAATCAAAACCACAATGAGATACCACCTCACACCAGTGAGAATGGGGAAAATTAATAAGGCAGGAAACAACAAATGTTGGAGAGGATGCGGAGAAAAGGGAACACTCTTACACTGTTGGTGGGAATGTGAACTGGTGCAGCCACTCTGGAAAACTGTGTGGAGGTTCCTCAAAGAATTAAAAATAGACCTGCCCTACGACCCAGCAATTGCACTGTTAGGGATTTACCCCGAAGATTCAGATGCAATGAAACGCCGGGGCACCTGCACCCCGATGTTTCTAGCAGCCATGTCCACAATAGCCAAACTGTGGAAGGAGCCTCGGTGCCCATCGAAAGATGAATGGATAAAG